CCCCCCCGATTTTGGGTTAGAACCCCCAATTTCCCGTCTCCAGGATGATTGTGGGGCTCGTGGCCGGGCTGCTCCTGGGCCGGGCCGGCTACTACGCGGCGCTGAGCTGGTGCTGCTTCAGCATCTTCGTCTTCATGGTGAGATCTGGGGCTTTTTGGGCATTTTGGGGGATTTTGGGCATTTTTGGAGGTTTGCTTTGGGGATTTTTGGGCTGCTTTGGGGATTTTTGGGGATTTTTGGGGGGTGTTTTTGGGCTGGTTTGGGGATTTTTGGGGCTTTTTGGGGATTTTTTGGGGACTTTTTGAGGTTTGCTTTGGGGATTTTTGGGGCTTTTTGGGGATTTTTTGGGTTTTTTTTGAGGGTTTTTTTGGGGCTTTTTGGGCTGCTTTGGGGATTTTTGGGTTTTTTTGGGGTTTTTTGGGGGGGTTCTTGGGGTTTTTTGGGACTTCTATGGGGCTTTTTGGGCTTTTTTGGGGCTTTTTAGGCTTTTTTGGGGTGATTTTTGGGGCTTTTGGGGCTTTTTTGGGGTTTTTGGGGGTTTTTTGGGGGTTTTTTTGGGGGTTTTTTGGGGAGTTTTTTTGGGTTTTTTGGGGCTTTTTTGGGGCTTTTTGGGGTTTTTTTGGGTTTTTTTGGGCTATTTGGGGTTTTTTGGGCTTTTTTTTGGGTTTTTTGGTCTTTTTTGGGGGGTTTTTTAGGTTTTTTTGGGGCTTCTTTGGGGTTTTTTGGGTTTTTTTGGGGGTTTTTTGGGATTTTTTTTGGGTTTTTTTGGGGGGTTTTTAGGACCTGAGGTGTCAATCCCAACGTTCCAAATCCCAAATTTCCCGTTTTTCCCCCAGATCCGCACGCTGCGCCTCAAGCTGCTCTCGGAGGCGGCGGCCGAGGGGGATTTGGGGTGGATTTTGAGTGTATTTCATGGGATTTTTTTGGGTTTTTTTGACCTTTTTTAGGCTATATTTTTGTTCTAAATCCCAAATTTTCCCAAATTTCCCGTTTTTCCCCCAGATCCGCACGCTGCGCCTCAAGCTGCTCTCGGAGGCGGCGGCCGAGGCCGTTCTGGGGCGCGGTTTAGGGGTCTTTAATGGGATGTATGGGCTGTTTTTTGGGTTTTTTGGGCTGTTTTTGGGCTGTTTTTTGGGTTATTTTTTAATTTTAAATCCCAAATTTCCCCAAATTTCCCTTTTTTTCCCCAGATCCGCACGCTGCGCCTCAAGCTGCTCTCGGAGGCCGCGGCCGAGGCCGTTCTGGGGCCCATTTTAGGGGTTTTTAATGGGATTTTTGGGCTGTTTTTTGGGTTTTTTGGGCTGTTTTTGGGCTGTTTTTTGGGTTATTTTTTAATTTTAAATCCCAAATTTCCCCAAATTTCCCGTTTTTCTCCCCAGATCCGCACGCTGCGCCTCAAGCTGCTCTCGGAGGCGGCGGCCGAGGCCGTTCTGGTGCGCGGGGCCAAGAACCAGCTGCGCATGTACCTGACCATGGCCATCGCCGCCGCCCAGCCCCTCTCCATGTACTGGCTCACCTTCCACCTGCTCCGGTGAGCCCAGCCCCGCGCGGAATTCCGGGAAAATCCGGGAATTCCCTGGGAAAAATCCCGGGATTCGCCCGGGAAAATCCCCGCTGGTTTCGGCGGTGTCAATAAACGGAGTTTGAGGAGTTTTGGTGGTTTTTTTGGGGGGATTTTGATGGTTTGTCTCAATTTTTTGGGTGTTTGGATGTTTGGGTGAAACCCTGGAATTCTGAGCCCCAGCCCCGCGGAATTCCGGGAAAATCCGGGAATTCCCTGGGAAAAATCCCGGGATTCAGCGGGAAAATCCCCGCTGGTTTCGGCGGTTTCAATAAACGGAATTCGAGGAGTTTTGGTGGTTTTTTTGGGGGAATTTTGAGGGTTTGTTTCAATTTTTTGAGTGTTTGGCTGAAACCCTGGAATTCTGAGCCCCAGCCCCCGCGGAATTCCGGGAAAATCCGGGAATTCCCTGGGAAAAACCCCGGGATTCACCGGGAAAATCCCCGCTGGTTTCGGCGGTGTCAATAAATGGAATTCGAGGAGTTTTGGTGATTTTTTTTTGGGGATTTTGAGGGTTTGTTTCAAGTTTTTGGGTGTTTGGGAGAAACCCTGGAATTCCGAGCCCCAGCCTGCTCAGAATTCCCAGGAAAATCCTGGAATTCCCTGGGGAAAACCCCGGGATTCGCCGGGAAAATCCCCGCTGCTTTCGGCGGTTTCAATAAACGGAATTCGAGGAGTTTTGGTGGTTTTTTTGGGGGGAATTTTGATGGTTTGTTTCAATTTTTTGGGGTTTGGGTGTTTGGCAGAAACCCTGGAATTCTGAGCCCCAGCCCCCACAGAATTCTGGGAAAATTTGGTAATTCCCTGGGAAAAATCCCAGGATTTGCCCGGGAAAAATCCCCGCTGGTTTCGGCGGTTTCAATAAACGGAATTTGAGGAGTTTTGGTGGTTTTTTTGGGGGGAATTTTGATGGTTTGTTTCAATTTTTCAGGGTTTGGGTGTTTGGCAGAAACCCTGGAATTCTGAGCCCCAGCCCCCACAGAATTCTGGGAAAATTTGGTAATTCCCTGGGAAAAATCCCAGGATTTGCCCGGGAAAAATCCCCGCTGGTTTGGGCGGTGTCAATAAACGGAATTCGAGGAGTTTTGGTGATTTCTTTGGGGGGATTTTGAGGGTTTGTCTCAATTTTTTGGGGTTTGGGAGAAACCCTGGAATTCCGAGCCCCAGCCCCCGCGGAATTCCAGGAAAATCCGGGAATTCCCTGGGAAAAACCCCGGGATTCACCGGGAAAATCCCCGCTGGTTTCGGCGGTGTCAATAAATGGAATTCGAGGAGTTTTGGTGATTTTTTTTTGGGGATAAAAATCCCGGAATTCCAGAGATTTCCCCCAAAAATTCCCATTTTCAGTGGCTTCAGTAAAGGTAGTTTGAGGAGTTTTGGTGGTTTTGGGTTGATTTTTTGGGGGGATTTTGAGGGTTTGTTTCACTTTTTTGGGTGTTTGGATGTTTGGGAGAAACCCTGGAATTCTGAGCCCCAGCCCCCGCGGAATTCCGGGAAAATCCGGGAATTCCCTGGGAAAAACCCCGGGATTCACCGGGAAAATCCCCGCTGGTTTCGGCGGTGTCAATAAATGGAATTCGAGGAGTTTTGGTGATTTTTTTTTGGGGATTTTGAGGGTTTGTTTCAAGTTTTTGGGTGTTTGGGAGAAACCCTGGAATTCCGAGCCCCAGCCTGCTCAGAATTCCCAGGAAAATCCTGGAATTCCCTGGGGAAAACCCCGGGATTCGCCGGGAAAATCCCCGCTGCTTTCGGCGGTTTCAATAAACGGAATTCGAGGAGTTTTGGTGGTTTTGGGTTGATTTTTCGGGGGAATTTTGAGGGTTTGTCTCAATTTTTTGGGGTTTGGGAGAAACCCTGGAATTCTGAGCCCCAGTCCCGCTCGGAATTCCGGGAAAATCCGGGAATTC